CTCCTCAAAAGTGTTCTTTCCAACGTTGCAGTCGTCTATCCTGGGAGCTAATTATGGTGCCATTTTACTCCGAGATTGTTTCACTTATGATTTGCCTTCTACCACCCGTTTCCCTTATGAGTCTAAAGAGTTGCCTAGTGTTGCCTATCGCTGATGCTTTTTTCATCTCTTTCACCTTTGTCACCCACCACTGTTCACGGTCCTTGTGGAGACTTTTCGTAAGTTTCTTTTTGTGCAGCTTTCGCTCCTCATTGAATTCGGAGCTCGCCAGAATAAGTCTTCTAGCATCTATCAGTTCGGATGAGGCGGTCGAAATCCAATGGTTTTTATTCACCTTTGGATTTACCTTATTCACAGCTTTTACAGCTGTATCTATGGCTGAATGAATATTCTTTCAAGCTTCCTCAGGGTGAGCACAGCTGTCGAACTCAGATGTGTTTAGCTAGTTCTTCCTCAAGTAGGGATTTAGTTTCCTGATCGAGCTGGGGACGTGATGGGTTTACCGCCAGCTCTTTCCTACATCCGTTCAGTCGTAAGCACACCCGAGGGCGTGATCGGTATCTACACACGTGTTCCAGAAGGAGCGACAATCTCCTACCGACCCACGCCAACGATAGCTAGCACCTACTTTTGTAACACCTTCAAACACTGTTCAGTTTTTGGCTTTGCTACCAACATGCCAATATTTTGTTGTCATAACTAACTGAGATTACCCTCAATCTATGTAGAACTTTATTTATTGTTAATGTATTAAGTGGATGCAGTATTGTAGTAAAATTCTGAGAATTCTCTTCTGTATCACAAGTACTGTTTTGGAATAAAGCAAATTATTATTATTACTGCTAATAATAATAATCATCATCTTTCACAATTTATAATACAAAATCAACTTATAATGCAAATGTTTAGACTTTTTTTTATTACATCTTGATTCTACAGCGTCCTTTTGGTACAGGTATGGAATTTTCAGCATGTGATATCCGAAGCCCGAATTTCGCAGGCGGAACATGGATACCAGGTGTGTTTGGAGAAGTCAGTCCATGTGAAATCAACGACGCTGTGACATTTAAACCTGAACTATCATTAAAAATCGATGACACGCAGTTACGTTTATACCAAACTAACCACATTTCATTTTCAGAAAAAATTGTTTATCTGCTCTGTTACACACACCGGAGAAATATCGATATGGAACTAGTCCACTTCAATTTACGATTTATAGTTAATAGCTTGTAAAAACGAAAACTAGTGTGGCACATGCTACTCATAACAACAAACACAAGTAGTAAATAGTTTGATTTTGGTGTGGTTGCGTTCTCTGAGCTGGATAGTTAATTTGCGAAGCTTTTATCGGCCCACTAGGCGACATCTTCAGCGCATACTTCAATTTGAAGTGAGCTTTTAGATTTCTCCATGAGTCTAATAATAATCTCTCCTGGTGACCTTGGACGTGATTGATTGTTTTTATGTGTTTTCCCACCTTCTAGGCTACTTGTATTGGAACTGATTGTTTCTTTGATTTGAACTTTGACCTTTTGTGTGTGAGGTTTCTTTCTTATCGATTGATAAATTTTGTCTATCTCGATGTGAAGGAAACTAACGAAAAGTCTCCGCAAGGACCGTGAACAGTGGTGGGCGACAAAAGCCAAAGAGATGGAGAAAGCTTCGAGGATAGGCAACACCAGGCAACTCTTTGGACTCATCAGGGAAACGGGTGGGAGAAGACAAATCATCAGTGAGACAATCTCGGAAAAAATGGCACTATAATTAGCTCCCAGGATAGACGACTGGATCGTTGGAAAGAGCATTATGAGGAGCAGTTTAATTTGCCCACAGCCACGCTCAACCTTCCGAGCATCCAACACCTCCCTGAATGGGATATAAACACAGGTCCTCCGTCCCTAACTGAGGTTACTAAAGCTGTCACCAATCTGAAACTAGGCAAAGCAGCGGGACCTGATGGAATGACTCCAGAGGTATTTAAGTACGGTGGAGACAGCTTACTGTCCGGATTAACTGAGGTACTAGGCAGCGTCTGGGAATCAGAAGAAGTCCCATCGGGTTGGTGTAAGTCACTGATTATCCCCATATACAAGAAGGGAGACAAGTCTTCCTGTGATAATCACAGAGGGATTAGCTTGACTAATATAGTATCTAAAGTCTTAGGCTCAATAATCATGCGTAGACTGAGTGGTGCTCGGGAAGCACAAACACGAGAGAGCCAGGCAGGCTTTAGACCAGGAAGAGGGTGTATTGATCATATCTTCACCCTCCGACAGATTCTAGAACATAGGCATTCCTACCGGCGTCCAACAGTCATTATATTTCTTGACCTAAAGGCAGCATTCGACTCTGTCGATCGGGAAGTTCTCTGGAGATGCTTGGCTGTAAAGGGAATTCCAAGAAAATATATTGCACTGATTAAGGCACTCTACTCGTACTCATACAGCCAGGTGAGGGCTTACGGCGAGCTGTCATCTGAACTGATGACGACCAGTGGTGTCCGTCAAGGATGCCCATTATCTCCTTTTCTATTCAACTTCATCATAGATGTGTTAATGGACTTAACCCTAGGTGACTTCAGCGACTCAGGGATTGACTTGCTACCAGGGAATAATCTCGTTGACTTGGAATATGCAGACGATATAGTCCTTCTAGGCGAAGACGCTGACGAAATGCAGAGTCTTCTAAACACCTTGAGCTGCAATCTACGAATGTTTGGCATGCGATTCGCTCCCGCCAAATGCAAGATGATGTTACAGGACTGGACTACATCGACGCCTAGTTTAAAAATAGGAAGTGAAGTGGTAGAGCACGTTGACCGCTTCACTTATTTGGGAAGTACCATCAGCCAGTGCCAACGGGCTGATCTCTGACGAAATCTCAGCAAAAAACGAATACAAGGGGCTCGTTTCGCATTTGTTAGTTTACGCCGACTCTGGCGTAGACGAGATGTTCGACTATCGACCAAAGGGCGGGTGTACTGCTCATCAGTCCGCTCCGTCCTCCTTTATGGTTGTGAGACCTGGCCACTGAGAGTGGAAGACATGAAAAGACTAGCTGTCTTTGATCATAGGTGCCTGCGTTCTATTTCCCGTGTAAAGTGGCATAATAAGGTGAGCAACATGGAGGTTAGGCGTAGAGTTCTAGGTAAACAGGGGAAATCAATCGACGAAGTCGTGAAGCTACAAAGACTGAGATGGTTAGGACATGTGTTACGTATGCCAAGTCATCGCCTCCCTCGACGAGCAATGTTAGCGGATATAGGGTCAGGCTGGAAAAAAGCTAGCGGCGGTCAAACAAAAACTTGGCATCAGTCAATGAAATCCACAACAGTTGGTCTAAGCCACGTAGGAAGGTGTAGACTTCCAGGCTGGGGTCCTCGGGACGGTAAAAATCTATGGTTGGAAACAATTGGTGACATGGCTCAAAATCGTTCTCAGTGGCGCAGATGCATCCACTCCTTGTGACTTATGATCCCCAATGAAACTGTTTTGTTCTTCGTTATTACTCCTTTGTCTCACACCTCTGCTCACTGTTTCTATTATGCTTTTCTTGTACTTTCTTCTCTTGCTTCGCGTGCTACACGGAATGTGGCGACTTGAACTTCCGCACATTTGTGCAAAGTTCTATGTCGAAAACAGACAGACTATCTCGATGTGTCTATTGACTGATGATTCACTGGAATACCAGGCTTTTAAAAATTTTCTAGCATTCATGTCGTCTCCTCTATCTAATATTTGAACATTGTCTCAGTCGAACTGATGTCCGTGGTTGTCTGTATGTAGTGATAGAAGGGAGTGAATGTTATGTCTTTTGACAACTAGCTTATGATCGTGGATACGAAGAGGAAGGGGACGTCCACTTTGGCCAATGTAGTGTTTTTCGCAGTTGTTACAATTTATTTTGTAGATGATGTTGGTTTTATCTTCTTTCGTTGTTGAGTCTTTTGGTTGACATAGAACTGAATTAAGTGATTTTGTTGGTTTGTGTGCGACGTCAACTCCTAAAAGTTTGAAGAATCTTGTAGTGATTTCTGAGATATTCTTTATATATCGTAAGGCGATTTTCTTTGTGCTTTCCTTGGGGGCTTTTGGTTTGATAGGTTGGCTTGAGGGTATATATCCTTTGATGAAATTCCGTGGATATCAATTCTTTTGGAAGATGTCCATGAGATTTCCTTCTTCAATTTTCCTTGAGGTGGGAGTGTTGCAATGAGTCCTGGACCTCTTGAATAGTATTTGTATGCAATTCCTTTTTTGTGTTAATGGATTGTTGCTGTTGTAAATCAGTATTTGGTCTGTGTGAGTTGATTTTTTATAAACTTGAGTTCCTAATTCCCCTGTGGTTGTTCGCTTGACTAAGACGTCTAAAAATGGGATTTTATTCTCAGATTCCTTTCCTCTCGTGAATTTGATGTCGTTGAAGACGTTGTTTATTAAGTTGTGAGTTTTATCTAACTCGTTTCTTTTGATTATTACAAATGTGTCATCTACGTAGCGTATTCAAATTTTTGGTTTGATCTTTGGTATGATTGTTTTCGAGCCTTTGCATCACTGCTTCTGCAATCAAACCTGATATTCCCAAGCCTATGGGTGTTCCTTTGACTTGTTCATATATTCGGTCACTGAACTGGAAGTGCGTTGTTAGGTATAGGTTTATGTATTCCATCCAGCTTGTGTGTTGCATTTTTGATTGTGAAACACAGGGCTTTAAGCTTGAGTTTTGAATTTTCAGTAGTAGTGGTATTTATTTTTACGGAATGAAGTTCCTAGCCTCATGCACAACTTTCCCTCTATACCAGTCTTATTACTACCTTAAACAGGTAAAGCAGTGTGTCGGCCAGAGATCGAACCCCGAATCACATACGTGGTTGGTGAGCGTACTGCTGTGCCACCGACGCACCAGGAGTGTGGAGAAGTGATCACTGATCACAATATTCAGTTAGATTATTTGAAGATTATTGTTTAACAAACTTCCTTCAAAAGGTACACACTTACTATCTTGGGTCTGATCTGCACAATGATGCAATTGTACTTGGTTAATGTGTTCAGCGCACGCTGTTACTTCATTAACAACTGCGGCAGGATTTTGACGAACAACCTCAACTCCATTCTTTGTAAAAACGAAAAGAAAGTTTACACAAACACGATTGGTAAGGTGCAAAATTAACAATGAGCATACATTCAAACCGCAAATCATTAAACGGAATATTTTGTTTGGAAGTTGGGCTTTCTAATCGTAGATTGACTATATGAAGTCATCAGTTCTCACAGATAGGAAAATTCAAATATAAGGAAGATCTTGGGATATATTTATACATATATATATTGTGAGTGCATGTGGAATACTGACATTACCATTGGAAGTATTGATAGAGATAACTTCATTTACTTCAGACATATAAGGGATTAATGTTCTACTTTTCTTTTTAAATAAAGTATGCGAATTTATTCTCTACACCTGGATAAGTAAAATTTAAGGTCTTCTGAAAAACGTGACAATAATAATAATATAATTAAAAAAAACTGTTTGGCATTTTGTGAACGTTTATCGATAATATATATTGTAGTACACATTGTTGGATTTACATGTCTAAGTCGACCCAAGTCAACAAGAATCTACGGTTTTGATATCATTTTTGTTAACTGTTTTTTTTACGACAGTGACACTACTGCTATGGCTTTTTTTGTTGTTGCCACTGCCCCCTTCCTGTTGTGAATTTTCTTCTTTCTGCTCGTGTTGTTCTGACTGCTTTATTCCTTGTTTTCCTGGTTCTAAGGGGAGCGACCTACAAAGTCGGTCCTCTGTAAACTACACATACATGTATCAACCCCCTTCTTAGGCGTGAGGCTAGCAACCCCACCCTGTAAACAAAGTTGTTAGAGAAACTTCAGCACGATTAGTCTCCTTGCGTCAAAAGAAAAAGTCTGTGTGGGGACATGGAAAGTACTAGACTATCAGAGCTGTCCAGATTGCAAACAAAATGAAAAGATACGGAATTCAAGTACTGGGAATATGTAAAAGCAGATGGAATGAAGGTGGACTTACCAGATTGTCAACGGGAGAGTCGATGATCTACTCCAGTCACCCAGAAAACAAACATGCACAAGTCATGTGTTGATCAAATAGCCACACTACGGATCATCATTGAACAAAGCTTGGAATAGAAGTCACCTCTCTATCTCAACTTCATCGACTTTGAAAAGGCCTTCGACAGCGTCGATCGAGAGGTCATTTGGCAACTACTTCGCTACTACGGGGTCCCATCGACAATTATACATCTCATCCAACAAATGTACGACAATGCTACATGCCAAGTAATCCACAACGGGGGACTTACGGAAGCCTTCGAAGTGAAGACGGGAGTGAGGCAAGGCTGTCTACTATCGCCAATGATTTTCCTGATTGCGGTAGATTGGATAATGCGACAAACAGCGGGCAGCGAGGAAACAGGCATAAAATGGACCCACACAAAACACTTGGAGGATCTGGACTCCGCCGATTATATATGTCTGATTTCCAACAAACTGGAAGATATGCAAGTGGAAAGCAACAAGTTGGTAGAAAAACCATCCAGAGAAGATAGGCCTTCAGGTGAACAGAGAGAAAACAGACGTAGATGATGAAGATTCCTGGCCAACACCAACAGCAGATGACGATCAGCATAAATGGGGGGAATCTGAAAGAAGCAACCTCCTTTACCTACCCACCTACCTGGGAAGCATCGTTTCAACTACAGGCGGACAGAACCGACGAGGATATTAAAGAAAGGATCGGGAAAGCAAGGCAAGCTTTCATTACTCTCAAGTCTGTGTGGAGATCAACAGCACTCAGCATCAAAAATAAGATCTGGATTTTCAACTCCAATGTGAAGTCAGTCAGTGCTACTCACTATACGGATCAGAGACTTGCACTGCGCGTCATAAAGAGCATCTGGAACAAAAAACTTCAGACCTTCATCAACAGCTGTCTCCACTCAAGATCAGATGACCAGAAAAGATCAGGAACAGGGATCTCTGGCAATGAGCGAACCAACCAGGAAGCAATTGTGAAACAAATATGCACGAAGAAATGGAGGTGGATTGTTCATACTCTAAGAAAACCATCAGGTGACATCACACTAAAGGCCATCACTCGTGTGGAAGACGAAAGGGAAGCGGAGAGTTGGTCGTCCAAGGGTGACATGGAGGTCATGTGAAGAGAAGTTGAAAGTATGTGGGCTGACGTGGAGCCGGGTGAAAACGTTGGCAGAGAACCGAACGCAATAGAGACGTGAGGTTGAAGCCCGATTTTCCTCTAGGAAGCAAGGGACACAATAATAATAAAGTTAAACCATAGTGGAATTATATAAACGAAGTTAGAAAGTTGTATGGGCACCTTGATATGATGATGACCAATAAATTGTCATCAGTAAATATTACTGTATAATACTGTGAGACTTTATCAAACAAAATTTACCCATAATGGAATGCAATCTAAGGTGTGCGACTTGTACTGGAGGAGCCCGATAGAACGCCTACTCTGTTGCAGAAACCGAATTGAATACAGTTGATAATCTACAAAGAAACATTTAGGAACAGCAAGTAGGCTTCCCTAAGGTGATGGATACAAAAAGTTCACTTCTGTTGACAAATGAACGCGTTAACTTTTCGAAACACGAAATATGCGCATAAGACCATTCTTTAAATAAAAAAGAGAAGAGTAATTAGTTCTCTTTCACCTTAAAAAACCAGAAAAGCAGACTTTTCGCTAACCTACTAATCATTACTCTCTTGTTCAATGTAAATTCACTAGAAGGCTACATCAGTATGAAAGCAAATTTAGTGAGAAAGATATTGGCACTAGTCAAAAGCAGCTTGTTTCACGTCTCAAAAGGTAATATCATGTCAAGTGTAGTGGACATTCGAAAAAGACAGAATTTTAACAAATTACCAATATTTAGTCATTTTCAACAGACACGGACACTGAACACAAAGATGGATTGAAGGATAAACAAATAAGGTGTATAATAAATCATTGATGCAAGAATCGAAATTGGGCGCTGTTGTATAATGAATTTATTTCATGAAGTCCCACAACGTTAGATAGTATTGTTTACTGATAACATTTTGAGTACAATTTATTACTCTTGATCACATCAAGGTGATATGATTATGAGCGATAGACACTGTGAGATTTTATCAAATAAATTCACTCTATGAAACAGTTGTAATGACGATGACAACAAAATGACAACAACAACAACTACCTGTTCATGTTTAGTGGAGCTAGCTTGTGAACTATCAACTTTCGGTGTGACTGACGACGAGTGTACTGCATGCTTAGATGCACCAGAATCAGAAGAAACTAAATGTTCTTTTACTTGTTGATGAAGGTGTAGAGCAGCGAGTTTTTCGTGTAACTCAAGTGTATCAAAATTACTTTGTCTAGTTGCAATCGGTCTGAAAAAAAAGAAAAGATATAAAATAGGATTTAGTTAATATATAGTTGAAGAGTAAAATACTTTGCAGTCACATTTGTATGGGGATGTGATCCACTGGTTTAAGAAATCCACTCTAGGCAATGAGTCCCTACATACTTAAGACTAAACAACTGGGTATTACCATAAGTCTCTACAAAAAGTGTGGATTACATTGTCGTACATGAACAACGTGTTCCACGGAAACAAGTTATTTGATCATATCACAAACTTTTAGCTATACTAAGCTTTACCTAAAATTATCATCGACGTACTAACACGCTAGAAATGTATCAGGTTACAAATGATTAGAAGCCCCGTACACTAAATATGCAATATATATATATATATATATATATATATATATATATATATATATATATATATATATGAACATACTATTAAAGATGAACTCAAACAGATCACGTAGCGATAGGCTGTCAATGTAAAGTGTAGGCAGAAGACTACCGCACATGGTGGAACCTCTTTGTGGACTGCAGTCACGCATTGGTCGATGAAGGTATACACCTACGGCTACTGAACCTGAGTAGAAATAAGGAAGCTCTGAAACCGCTACACTCCCAGCTCAACGAGAACACAAAGTCTTTATTTAGGAAAAAATAACTAAGAGTGTATCTGAGATTAACAACAAGATTCAGCCTAAGAAATCATAGTATAATATCCAGTCAGCTATGGAAATCCTCGTTAAGGCTGTAGATAGCCTGGAACAAAAGGTTAGTAAATTCCAGTGGGTTTCTGTTAGCTAATGCGAATTGATAAGGGCTAGAAGACTGATTCCGGAGGCCTCCAAGCGTGACGCGGACACAAAGCTGTTCAGACGCAAGCTGACCAAAAGTTTGTACAAAGACTGAGAACAGTGGTGGGCAATAAAACCCGAACAAAGGGGTTGGCGAAGGCATCAGAGGAGGGGGATGCCAGATTACTATTCGAACTGCGTCGGTGACACAGTGGTTAGGACTCTCGCCGACCATGCACATGGTCCGGAGTTCGAGCCCACGCCGACGCACACCTGATATCTATGGTCGGCCTGCGAAATTTGGGCTCCCGATATCCACGCTGAAAATTCCATACTTCTACCAAAAAAAATACGGTATGGAATCAAGCTGTAATCAAAAATCAAAAAAAAAACTTATTAAGAAAACAGGTTTCAAAAAGGAAATAACAAGCGAAACAATGTTTGAGAACAGTGTTTCGACTATCTCTCAAGTAAACTAGTAGAATTTTGGAAAGAACACTGAAAAGAAATTCAAATACCCTAAAGCCACTCTAATTTTGCCCAGAATTCAACATTTACCTGTGTAGTATGCGGATATCGGGGCAATAGCTGTCTTTAACCTTAAAAGGAGACAAGGCAGAGCGACCTGAAGGTAACAGCCCGGAAGTGTTTAAGGATGGTGGAGATGAATTATTGACTAGGTTAACTGAGATATCAGGTAATGCAAAGGAATCTAACGTAGTTCTGTTGGGTGGGAGGAAATCCTTGATTCATCCCAGCTTATAAAAAGACAGACACATCTTCTTGTGATAATTGTCGGGGATCGGTTTGACTAAAATAGTACGTCGATTTTGATGTTCAGTAACCATACCTAGACTGAGTGGTGATCAGGAGGATCAAACCCATTCAAAGCAGACAGATTTAAAGCACGGAAGAGGGTGTATTGATGATATCTTAGCTCCTTGACAGATTCTGGAAATGGACATAATTATTAGCGCTCAACAGTTGCTATACTTCTTAACCTTGATTTCTTTGACCGAAATGTAGTGCAGCAATATCTTGGGGTGGAGGGGATTCCAATAAAATAATTGGCGCTAATCAAAGCACTCAATCTACTCGAACTCTGCCATGTAGAACGTTATAGAGCGTTGCTGTGTCAACCACTGGTGTTTGAGAGTGATGTTCAGTGTTTCCAGTTTTGTCTAATTTGATGACCAATGTACTAGTGTTGTTGTTGTTCTCATTTTTCTCACGACCAATATTGGGGACGTAAACATTGACGAAAATTACTGTCTACCAACTTTGGCTAGCAGCCAGCGCTCAGCACGGTGTGACCGTAATTCACTTTAGCGACTGTAGGACTGACTTGTCACCAAGATACAGTCTCGCCAAATTAGACTATGCGGCCGACCATGTTCTTCTGGTCGCCGTAGGCACCTGGTTCAGCGATAGGGAATGAAATGTTTAAGAATGTGAAGAGATTCTGACGCTACATCGATTGACAGGTCTAGGATATGTGTTATGCGTAACAAGCCATCACTTTTCTTTCAAGTTTGATAACGGATCGATATCAGTTAGAGAACCACTGGAAACCAAGGGGTAGTGGACAGTTATTTCGTCCTGGTTTGAAATTCATCAGTACGCACCCTTAGGGTTTCGAACCTAGAACCTCTGGTTACAATGCGAGCCCGTAGACCCTTCAGCCAGACTATGAAGTGTACCTCCTATAAATTAGTCATTTTAGCGCGATCACCCGCTAATGTCACCGGCGAGTATATTTCCTTACTCTCCTGACCGGGTGGACCCAAGTGGTCACGATTATTCATCAAAACTCTAGGTGCCTTCATCCTGGAGTCACACACTAGTGAGCATCAGATCAGTTCTCCACAGTTTGCTTGTAAGGATTTTATTTATTTCTTTGCTGTGCAAACTTCTATATTGAAAGCGAGTTAGTCAGTCAAATAAAAGAATGCTTCACCTACTGGATTACATTACGTGGAAGAGTCTATCCAGCATATGGGTTTTGTATTCAGACTACTGAATATCACATTTTTAGTTGATATCGTACCAGAGAAACTAACAATTTACAGAAAGACCGTATTCATTAAACCTAAGTCAGTGAAATAGTTTGCCATACATGCATCAGTATTTGTTATAAGATATTACACATTTTCTAGGCTTCATTTTTATTCTTAATAAGGCTTGATTTTTTTTTTAACTGTTTACTGGAATCATAAAAAGGTGTACCCTTAATTATTCTACATAAGGAGTTATAAATGTTGGCAAAAAGCAGCATTAAGAAGTAGAACAACACACGAAAACAAATACAATTTATGTGTATAATATAAATGTTAGATAGATATACATGTAAAACAGAATAGAATTACCCAGGAAATTGTAGTTCACCATCGATTAGAGCACAATTATGTCTTGCTAAAGCGAGTAATCTAACCAGATTGCAACGATCAACTGGACTTAAACACTTTGAAGCTTCAAATAAATCAGCTACACGTTCATGATCATGCCATTCATAATCGAATACTTGTACATATGTCTATTAATATGCAATAATAATAATAATAACAGTAATAAATAGAGGAAACAGAAACATTATTCTTTTATAACACATATAAATGTGGTAACGATTCATATTAGTTAACGCAATAATTCCAACAGACTGAATTATATATATATATATATATATATATAAATACCGTTATGCACTGATCGGCATTTTTAAAGAAATACATTTTTCAAAAATAATATTGATACTAATTAGCATTAACTAGCATTAGCATTAATTAACCGACAAACTGGTCGAAGAAGCAGCAAAGACAGGACTCCAGGTGAACATAGACAAGACAGAGGTTATGAAAATAACCCACCAACCAACAACAACAATAACTACAGCAATATCCAGCGCCAATCACCATCAACGGGAGAGATTTGGAAGAGGTTATTTCATTCACTTATCTAGGGAGCATTGTCTCAACTACAGGCAGGAGGAACGGACGAGGATGTTAAATCGAGCGAGAATCGGGTGGTGGGCGAGAAAAACATTCACTCATCAACCTGAAACCAATCTGGAAATCTTCGTCACTCAGCACTAACAACAGAATGAAATGGAAATGTGCTGTTCAAGCTCTATGTTCTACTCAGGAATAATAATCGACTGTAGTATTTACTTCAATACATGAGATGTCAAGGTAATGCTTTCTGGACCCACCACTGATTCAAAATAACTCTTGGAAAAAGCTGTATACAGTAGCTGGCTGTTTAAGAAATAAATGTCCTAAAAAATTACTAATATTATTACGAGTATTTGAATACATAGAAACAGACTGACAATACTCGTTGCATTGTGTAATTGTTTTAAAGTACCTTAAGAAAATACTAATTTAACGTGGTAAAACCAAAAAGATGAAATCTTCTAGTTTATATTTCCAAATGCAAGTGAGATGAAAATTTCCTATTAGCTGGGCAATGAATAATGTGAAATTTTAACTCGATAAATGCATATCTAGAATGGTGCTAATTTTCTATCGATACAGGAAAATGTAGTTAAGGTTGATGAATTGACTAAGTCAGTTTCAGAACTACTTTCAGTCAGCTCTATTTAAGGAATCTTTCCGACCAAATCTCTCCATAGCGCATAGCTGAAACGGTAGTGAAACTCGAAAAGTCGTCAAGCCAAATCTGTATCTTAAAAAAGTGTATTCAACCATTTGTCTTTGTTGGGTTCAGCATAACCAGTTTACTTTCTTAAATTATTTACATCTTTCTCATTTGTAAAGCATACTTTATATAAAACTGTAACGACAGAAGACAAGCGCCAGACAACAGATCGTTTATTGAATTAATCAAGAGATATTTATAGATTTTTATGTACATTATTGTCAGCGGAGAAGCAACGTCTTCTGTTTGTTAGTTTTCTTGCTGAAGGTTATTCTGTACTGATTGTGACCGTTTCTCAGAATGTTAAGCCATGTATCTGCGAATCCTATTTGCACACATCAAGTCTGATGTGAGTGGCTGGTGAGTTCCTCAAAGTTAAGCTTCGTTATTGTTTTTCTCATGGCCCTGATTTAGGACGTAATATTGACGTTGATTTGCTGTTTATAATTTTGGCTTGCGGACAGCTGTCACCAAAATACAACCCAAATTTTTGATAGGTCAGTTATACCGAAGTCTCTATACTGTTTTGTTATATACTCATGAATATACAGTCTAGTTGTTGATTTTATCAAGTTGACATTTGCATCATGGGTGTCACCAGATGGGCAAACCAGAAACCAAACTGACTTCATCCCAATGCTGCTCAAGGAAGTGGAGGAGCAGCCTACTGGGCACAAAAGTAAGAAGAGGAGTAGACGTTGGCTCAGACCACTATCTCGTAAAAGGGACAAACCAAATCAAATTAAAAGATTTCACGGAAACAGGAGCTGCAGATAGACCACAAGCCAAGTTCAACACTCAAAAACTGAAGGACCAAGATACAAAGGATATCTTCATTGCAAGCATAAAGGACAAAGCTGAGATACAAATCAACACTAGCGAAAAGTTCAGCGTTGAAAAGCACTGGAACAACTTGAAAACGGTGTGGAGCCAAACCTGCATAGAAATTCTAGGCAGAAAAAAGAGACAGGACAAACAGTGGCTCACTACGGACACTTGGAAACTAATAGAAGAGAGAAGGATGTTGAAACAAAAGATTATCCAGTGCACTGACGAGCAACAAAAACAGGAGTTGAATGCAAGCTACAATACACTGAACAAAAGAGTGAAGAAGAGTGCCAGGGAAGACAAAAGAAAATATTATGAAGCCATGGAAAGTGAAGCAGAACAAGCTGCAGTGCAGGCAAAGGAGACCTCGCCACACTCCACCAAACAACTAGGCACCTTTCGGGGAAAAGTTCGACACAGATTAAGCCAATAAAGGACGACAATGGAAAGTCAATCACCAAAGAGGTGGAACAGAGAAAGCACTGGGTTGAACACTTCAAAAGACTTCTAAATCGTCCGCCACCTACAACACGTCCAGCAAAACCAACAACGGAAGCAGAACTACCAGTGAACATCGAACCCCCAACGAAATCAGAAGTCTTGAATGCAATCAAGATGCTTAAAGCTGGAAAAGCAGCAGGACCAGATGGAATCCCAGCAGAAGCATTGAAAATAAACCCAGAGACAACAGCGGACTTGATGACACCACAACTGGAGGTGTGGAAAAAGGGCAAGGTATCTGCGGATTGAAAGAGAGGCTACCTATTCAAACTACCGAAGAAAGGGGACCTAGCAAGAACTGGTGCGGATTTATGCTCCTGTCCATCCCAAGCAAAATACTAAGCCGCATCATCCTGGAGAGAATCAAACAAGCCCTAGATGAAAAACGTCGACCGGAACAAGCTGGATTCACGAGAAGCAAGTCATGTGTTGATCAAATCGCCACACTACGGATCATCATTGAACAAAGCTTGGAATGGAAGTCACCTCTCTATCTCAACTTCATCGACTTTGAAAAGGCCTTCGACAGCGCAGCGTTGATCGAGAGGTCATTTGGCAACTACTTCGATACTACGGGGTCCCATCGACAACTATACATCTCATCCAACAAATGTACGACAATGCTACATGCCAAGTAATCCACAACGGGGGACTTACGGAAGCCTTCGAAGTGAAGACGGGGGTGAGGCAAGGCTGTCTACTATCGCCAATGATTTTCCTGATTGCGGTAGATTGGATAATGCGACAAACAGCGGGCAGCGAGGAAACAGGCATAAAATGGACCCACACAAAACACTTGGAGGATCTGGACTCCGCCGATTATATATGTCTGATTTCCAACAAACTGGAAGATATGCAAGTGGAAAGCAACAAGTTGGTAGAAAAACCATCCAGAGAAGATAGGCCTTCAGGTGAACAGAGAGAAAACAGACGTAGATGATGAAGATTCCTGGCCAACACCAACAGCAGATGACGATCAGCATAAATGGAGGGAATCTGAAAGAAGCAACCTCCTTTACCTACCCACCTAACTGGGAAGCATCGTCTCAACTACAGGCGGACAGAACCGACGAGGCTATTAAAGAAAGGATCGGGAAAGCAAGGCAAGCTTTCATTACTCTCAAGTCTGTGTGGAGATCAACAGCACTCAGCATCAAAAATAAGATCTGGATTTTCAACTCCAATGTGAAGTCAGTCAGTGCTACTCACTATACGGATCAGAGACTTGCACTGCGCGTCATAAAGAGCATCTGAACAAAAAACTTTAGACCTTCATCAACAGCTGTCTCCACTCAAGATCAGATGACCAGAAAAGATCAGGAACAGGGATCTCTGGCAATGAGCGAACCAACCAGGAAGCAATTGTGAAACAAATATGCACGAAGAAATGGAGGTGGATTGTTCATACTCTAAGAAAACCATCAGGTGACATCACACTAAAGGCCATCATTCGTGTGGAAGACGAAAGGGAAGTGGAGAGTTGGTCGTCCAAGGGTGACATGGAGGTCATGTGAAGAGAAGATGAAAGTATGTGGGCTGACGTGGAGCCGGGTGAAAACGTTGGCAGAGAACCGAACGCAATAGAGATGTGAGGTTGAAGCCCTATGTTCCTCAAGGAATTAAAGGATATAATAATAATAAGAGTTTGCATGATGAAATGTTTTGTATTTTTCAATGAACGATAATGCTTTTACTAACGTCTCGCTATTAAATGCTAATTTTTTCATTCCTCTACGTTCTCACGGGAACATAGGGCTTGAAGCTTGAGCTTTGAAGTTTCAGTAGCAGTGGTATTTACTTTTGTGAGATGGGTTGCTAGCTTCATGCCAAACTGCCCTCTTTAAAGATGTGAGCCGGCCGGCGACCGAACCCAGAACCACCTGTGGTTGGTGAGCATTCTACGGCTGTGTCACCGACGCACTTAATGCTATAACAGCTTTATCAAATTGTTATTAAACCAAAATTTACAAAATCTCAGCATATATATATATATATTTATAGTAAAACTTAATTATCGTTTCTCGGTATGGGGTGAGTTTTCGTTGTAAAGTTGACCAATTGGTAAAGATAACAAAACCAGGTGTAGATTGTTGAATTTGATAAATGTAAAACATTATGAAAGCAGCGTGTATTTACATAGTGAAATCGCTTCCCACATTCGTTTTGATTTTCCCATTTCATGAGGGAGAGGGGAGTTGCGACCAGGTTAAATCCTATTCCTATTCAGACATTTTTATATTGTGAAATCACCTTTTTTTCATTCCTATAACTAAATAGGTACATTAGGTTTTTTTTCAAATCGAGGTGAAAGAAAAGGAATAAAATAGCTTTCGACAAGAATGTACGCGAAAAAATGTTTACCTCTCTTTTTAAACGATCTTCAACAAACCACATTTGAACATAAACTTGCCAACGACCTGCTCCAACATACAAATACTGACAATGAGTGAATAAAGCTGGATGGTTTGGTGCACGTTCTGGAGGATTGACGTGTACAGTTTGTGGTTCGTAACGCTCAACTTGTTCTACAACACGTTTTTCATCCTCATCGTCGTCATCATCGCCATTATCATCGTCTTCATCATCTTTATCATCATCTTCATCGACATCCCGTCTTCTTCTTCAGGTTCAGGGCTGATATTTTCATGTTTTTCTGATACTGCAGAACCACTTATTGTATTCGCATCTAAGGCTTTTTCATCAGTTAAACCAATGGCATCACTATTAGTTATTTCTTTTTGTTGTATGTCAATAGAAAGATCAGATTTCACATCGAGTGGAGATTTACGTATGGGTTGAGTTGCTTCATCTGGTGGAGCTGAACATGTGTCATCTTCACGGGTTTCAAGTGTATATTGACCACGAATTTCCTAACAAAAAAGATAGAACCATATGAAATAGACATATATAATGCCTAGTCAACTTCTGGTGTTTATTAATACAAAAGATCTAATTAACAATTATTTGCATTCAATGGAGTCGAACTCCGATCCACATACGTGGTCAGTGAGCATTCTACCGCTGTATCACCACTGACACTTGGTCTGTTCATGGCTGTAGTAAGATTTAATTATTATCCTCCTCTAAACCACGAAATCGTGGATTTAAGATATCATGAGTCACTTGGCACCAGATAAGTGGGTGTGAAGTGGCGCACTCACCACGATGCATGGATGAAAGTGTCCCAGATTTTGAATGGTGTTAAAAAGTGTATCCCTCAAATACTTCACACACTTAAGAGAGAGAAGGAGACATGTGTCCATAACCATTCAGTTGTTATTGAATCCTCAGCTAGTGAGTGTAAGTATTGGATCACATTTACATTAACCTACTTTATTGGCATGTATTTCAGATACTGATGGTGACAATGATGAGTTAGATTACACCAATATAATTCAATCAGTAGTAATAGATTAAGAAAAATTTCAGTTTATTTCAATTTACTCTGATAAGATCCTATCGACTTAATTTTTTCTTGACTTATAAATTTACATAAGACAATTGTTCAATTTTACTTATACTTTAGTAAAAAAATAAAAAACTTTTCACATTATACGAAATTCACAATGATCATTTTTCAGTTAAATGTTTCAAATCACAAAGAAACATTTACCTACTGTTTGGTTAGCATGATTTGTGTTTGCCTCGATAACATAAAACTGTACACACCTAAAGTTTACAGGTTGTCGGGCTGTATAAAGTCCTGTATAATATCGTCGAATCAAAGGATTCAGTTTTTATTCAGGGATGGACGAGAATGAAAGTCAAATGTACCTGCGAATAATAAAATATCACTTGTTATTGTGATCAAGATTCTCTAATGTTTAATGCTGTACATGATGATGAAGCTAAATAGCTCTGAGACTTTTCCATTCTCTACTCATTTCAGTAACTGACTTTATCATCGAGGCGACAACATTTTGGCATACCTCAAATATCTGTGGCAGACTCAGACACGCTTATTCTGAGTGGCTATAGTGATGCTACCCAGTCATCCAACCAAATTCGGCGAATTGAGAAGCAAACTCGAGCGCCCTGACTGAAAATCAAGTGCTAGATCTGATGAGACGTATCTTTAGCTGAAACCTGAGGATGTCATCCCTAAAATAGAAATAGCACTAAGTTGGATAGACAAAACAACGACCGATGAAGTACAGGCACAGCGTGCAGTCACATTAAAACGACAAAAATGTGGAAAGCCTAAACTGACAATACCAGAGATAGAAACCCTGAAACACCTTAACAAGGATATAGTAATCACAAAGTCTGACAAAGGAAATGCGACAGTAGTATTAGGTAAGTTAGACTATTTGGAGTAGGTGAATACCCACATACAAACAGGACCATATGAGGAAATTAATAAATCAATAGACACAGTTATGAATAAAGTTAAGAAATCCACAGCGGACCTTGTACGCCGAATGAAGTCGTTTCTAAGTGAGTCTAAGTGGTTTAATTTAATGCCCGAAACTAACAAACCCAGTAGGATGTATTGTGTTGTTAAAGTTGATAAGTCAGGATACTCTATTAGACCTATAGTTGGTTTCATAAAATCACTTACTTACGAATTATCTAAATATTTAGCCATGGTGTTAAATCCCCTAAAAAGCCAATCGAAATTTAGACTAACTAATTCTTATGAACTAAAACACAGATTAGATAATTTAAAATTAGATAATGAAAAAATGGTTAGTTTTGACATTGTCAGTTTATATACACATATACCAATAAATATAGCTATAGAGGCAGTCAGAAACGAACTCTTTTCTGACCAAGTATTCGAACTTAGGACAAAAATGCCACTTTAGGACATAATGCTGGGAGTACAGCTATGCCTGACTTCCACAGTATTTAAATTTCAAACAAACAAACTGAGGGAGTTGCCATGGGGTCACCAATATCCTCGATTGTGGCAGATTTATTCATGAATAAGTGGGAAAACATACCGATTGAAACCTTCGCCCCCACCCCAAAAGTATGGTGGAAGTATGTAGACGACACATTCACTGTACTTAGGACACAAGATATAGATAGATTTTCCGAACTCATCAACTCGAAGGTAGAGGCAATTCAATTCAGTTATGATTTGGAAAGTCAGGAAGGGGAACTTCCAATGTTAGATTGCAACGTAAAAAGGAAAGAAGATGGGAAGTTAAACACTAGTGCTTACAGGAAACCAACACATTCAAACAGATATTTGGATTTCCGATCATCACATCCTATGTCAGTAAAAATAGGAGCTTTGTTCCAATAGAATACAAAAAGAACTTAGTCAGAACACTGTTCAATAGAGCACGGAAAATTTGTTCTGACAGTACTGTTGAACATGAAATAAAATCTTTGAAGGATATTTTATGTAAGAATGGATATCCTGAGAAGTTCATTAATAAATACTCTAAAGAAGCTATCCCTTGCAAAACAATTCAGACAGTTCCAAAGAAACCTGTCTATATCAATTTGCCATTCAAAGGAGATGACGTACAGGAAATAGTGAAACGAAGACTTGACAAAGCCATCAAGAGAACTTATTACGCTGCAAAACTCGTTATCCTTAACACCACCAAGCGAGTGCTTCAACAATCTGGGAAAGACCAGTCGCCAATCCTCGACACTTCAAACTGCATATATCAATTTGAGTGTGTTTGTGGCAGCAAATACATAGGTCGTACGGAAAGGCGATTGTCTACTCGCATGATGGAGCATTTGCCAAAATGGTTGAAAACAGCTGAGTGCAAAGTCCCAAAATCCTCAATAACAAAACATCTCGTGGATTACGGACATGATATCGACGCCGTCAAGTCATTCACCATCGTCAGCAAACAAAGAAACAAGAAGATGCTTGCAATTGCAGAGGCTTGTGCAATTCGAATTTACAAACCAGCCCTCTGTATACAAAAGGAGATGGTCGTCACTCTGAATCTACCATGGTAATACGCTTTACTTATTATTCTCTACTTGTTATTACTATTATTCTACCTCTTCTTATTATTATTTTTGCTATTATTGCTACCATTATTATTATTATTATTATTCTTGATTCATTTAAATCTATGCTTTATCCGTAAGATTATCTTAACTCACTTCAACACTATTATTATTATTGTTATTAAAACTATTACTATTGATATTAGTCTGTTTGCAATTCTCGTTATATTCCCTAATGACTAATTGTTTATCTAAGTGATGTAATTGAAACGTAATGCAATTTATCTTAATTTTGATCTCTCATACTCTCTCTCTCCCCTTATCTATTTGAACATGACCTGAAAAATATTCGCACCTGTCTCTCTGCATGATTAATTCAATGTAGTTTGTTTACTTATCAGTCTTATATCTCCCTATGTAATTTCAAAAGTATATATATTCGTGTATATAGAGTATTCAACTTATCAGTCTTATATCTCCCAATGTAATTTCAAAAGTATATATATTCGTGTATGTAGAGTATTCAGCTGACGAGTTCTACCGAAATTTGATGAATTCATTAAATCCTGCTTTATTAACCTTTATTGCTTGTTTTAAAAATAGGATTGGTGAAATGTTTAAATGACAGAGCACAAAAACAAAGCAGTACCAAGGAAAATCTAAGACAGGAAGTGACACACATAAAAGAGGCCTTGAAACTTAATAATTACCCGGATAAATTAGTCAGGAAATATGTCTTTCTGTCTGTCTGTTTTCGACATAGAACTTTGCACAAATGTGCGGAAGTTCAAGTCGCCACACTCCGTGTAGCACACGAAGCAAGAGAAGAAAGTACAAGAAAAGCATAATAGAAACAGTGAGCAGAGGTGTGAGACAAAGGAGTAATAAAGAAATACAAAACAGTTTCATTGAAGATCATAAGTCACAGGGAGTGGATGCATCTGCGCCACTGAGAACGGTTTTGAGCCATGTCACCAATTGTTTCCAACCATTGGTTTTTACCGTCCCGAGGACCCCAGCCTGGAAGTCTACACCTTCCTATGTGGCTTAGACCAACTGTTGTGGATTTCATTGACTGGTGCCGAGTTTTTGTTTGTCCGCCGCTAGCTTTTTTCCAGTCTGACCCTATATCCGCTAACATAGCTCGTCGAGGGAGGCGATGGCTTGGCATACGTAACGCATGTCCTAACCATCTCAGTCTTTGTAGCTTCACGACTTCGTCGATTGATTTCCCCTGTTTACCTAGAACTCTACGCCTAACCTCAATGTTGCTCACCTTATTATGCCACTTTACACGGGAAATAGAACGCAGGCACCTATGATCAAAGACAGCTAGTCTTTTCATGTCTTCCACTCTCAGTGGCCAGGTCTCACAACCATAAAGGAGGACGGAGCGGACTGATGAGCAGTACACCTTCCTTTAGTCGATAGTCGAACATCTCGTCTACGCCAGAGTCGGCGTAAACTAACAAATGCGAAACGAGCCCCTTGTATTCGTGCTGAGATTTCGTCAGAGATCAGCCCGTTGGGGCTGACTGATGGTACTTCCCAAATAAGTGAAGCGGTCAACGTGCTCTACCACTTCACTTCCTATTTTTAAACTAGGCGTCGATGTAGTCCAGTCCTGTAACATCATCTTGCATTTGGCGGGAGCGAATCGCATGCCAAACATTCGTAGATTGCAGCTCAAGGTGTTTAGAAGACTCTGCATTTCGTCAGCGTCTTCGCCTAGAAGGACTATATCGTCTGCATATTCCAAGTCAACGAGATTATTCCCTGGTAGCAAGTCAATCCCTGAGTCGCTGAAGTCACCTAGGGTTAAGTCCATTAACACATCTATGATGAAGTTGAATGGAAAAGGAGATAATGGGCATCCTTGACGGACACCACTGGTCGTCACCAGTTCAGACGACAACTCGCCGTAGGCCCTCACCTGGATGCATGA